GCTAAGCGATTCATGCACGTATTTTGTCAAGAATATTGAGAGCGCTTATTTCAATCAATCTCCATACTGGCACACTTCAAAGATTAATTTGAGGGGCGTGATCACACTTTGCTCAAATAGATGGAAAAAATGTTTTAAAAATACGACTCTGACATCATTTATCAAAAGCACTAACGCCAAAAGAATAAGTTTATCTTTGGAAAAACAAATGAACTGACACTGTCTATCCTCAATGTACGCGGGATGCAGTTGGTGAATCCACTATCACGAGTATAGTGACGTATACAGTATGCGGGTTTTCCACAAAGATTAGCATGTATACAACTGAAACAAAGTAAAAAGTATATTTGATCGGTGATAGTCTGTATACAGGACGAAGGACATCACACAAAGAATTCAAAGACATGTGTTACACCAGAAAAACTCAGTTCAAGCGTTTTGTAGTCATGAAGCCGTCTTTATCAGAAATGGTTGTGATGTAAGATATAATTGAAGGAAAATCACTCACAAACGCATATTATCCTCTCGAGGAAACTCGTTGTCATAAAACAATGGTTGTACCGGTTTCCTACAACTTCTAGAATAAGTATTTTTCTGAAAACCAGAGCGACGAACCAAGTCTGAAGGATGTCCACTGGATCATATCCCTCCCAGAACATTATTCGCATTTTGAGTTGATAGAACCATTCCATGAAACTGAACATATTCTCATTTTTCTAAAAAAAAAGGTAGTACAAGGGAAGGTTGAACATTGAAAACCAAGAAGATTTGCTGAGATCCAAACTAACCCCAGCCTTTTTGGATAAAGCTATTTCTTTCTTGTCATCCAAACCAAAGGACAACTTTAGTGCCATCAGGATGAAAGCAAACACTTTTGTCTCAGTGGAAAAGAAGATGCTGTAAAATAGATTAGAACTTAACGACACTGCACACCAGCAGAAAAAAAGAAAAAACAATTTTCAATTGATTCTGAGCCATAGAGCCCAAAATACTGAATAAAACTCATTCACTCTG